GACCGCTACCCGCGGAAGGTGACTGCCGCCATGGGCAAGAAGAAGATCGCGAAGAGGTCCAAGATCAAGTCTTTCGTCAAGGTTTACAACTACAACCACCTGATGCCCACCCGGTGAGTGGGGCTGCCGCTGGCGCAGCTGGGGAAGTCTCGTCTGCTTTCAGCACTCGTAGTTCTCGTGTGTTCTCTCTGGTGACTGCTGGGAGTCACCAAGGTTCTTAATTACGTGGCTGAACGAACGCGAGGCATACGATCTGCAAAAACAGGGACTTGGGTGTGGGGCTGAGGGGAAATACAAGTGAGCTTCTGAAATCAGGCGGCTGGCTCTCACTTCAGGCACACTCGCTTTCCACTTGATCACGGGGTGTCAGCGGGTGAGCATCTGAAACAGTCATGGGGACCTGGGGGTGCTGGCAGAGCTCTCGCGGCTCAGTGACATTTCTTCGCGTCCCCCCAGAGCTCTGGCTGGTGCAGGCTGCCACGTACAACGCTCTGGATAGAGCTGCTTGTCTCCTGCGAAGCGCGTAGCTCTCCTTTATAGGCTGAATTACATGTCTCTGGATGCCGTGGTGCTTTCCAGAACAGAGAAGGCCCTAAGAGCTGTAGTCCCTTAACCTGGCACTACTATGTGTGTTTCACCGGTTCGGGCTGTCCGCTGTCGTTTCACCCTCGTGCCAGGTACCGTGACTGTTTCGAACCTTGCTGCTCTCTTGCCCAGGTATTCTGTTGATATTCCGCTGGACAAAACAGTGGTCAATAAGGACGTGTTCAGGGACCCCGCTCTAAAACGCAAAGCGAGACGTGAAGCCAAGGTGAAATTTGAGGAAAGGTGAGTTGGAAGCTCGTCCCTTCAGTGGCGTCAGCACCGATCCCCGTGGCAAGGACTCGGCGCAGTTGTGCCGCAGCCCAGCTGGGTCGCAGGTTGGACGCTTCTCTGCCAACTTTTTTGAATATGTTTTTGGTTGCGTGCATTCCTCCTCGCTTTCTGTGTGTATTCACACAACTGTCTGTTCAGAGACTTGGGCGGCTGAGATGGGGAACAGTTTACCAACAGCCGTAGACTCAGGCTGACATTTGTGATGCCACCGCAGCCTCGTGCCAGCAGGAGCGGGGCCTTCCAGGTGCCAGATGGCGATCTCTTGGCGTCTCGCTGCCCGTTCATCCGCTGTCTGCTGCTGGTCTTAGTGGTACAGGGTGGCACCGATGCTTTGCCCGGGATCGTTTGAGTTACGGTCCTTCTTTTCAGTTTTCCGTTCAGAAACTCCTTCAGCGGAAGGAGCTGCGTGGCCCCAGCAGGACGTGGGGTGTCTCACGCGGGGTGCTGGCTGTTTTAACGTGCTCCGCCCGTGGTGG